GGCCCTTTTTCTGGTGTTTGTGAGATTTTTGTATGAACCAGGTTCCTTTGATGTTTCATGTTTGCATGTGTCATCCTCTAGTGCTGAGAAGCTGTAGTATTTGGAGCTGCTCAGCTTCTAGAGTGATGTCAGGGGTCCCAAGGGAGCAGCACTGTTGCCTGTGGGGAGGAAAGAGCTATTTCCTGCTTCCTGGCTGCAGTTCCTGTCTCCACTGTCAGAACCAGGTGGCCAGCACACAGGTGTATGCCTCTGTGCTTTGCATCAGTAGCTGCCCTAGGTGGTGCCTCCCTCTGGCTGGCCTGATGCCAGGGCAGGGATTGCCGTTTTGCAAGCTTGTGCCGGCAGGCCAGAAGGAAGGCACAGCAGGCTGTGTATCACAGTCATGGGCCTCAGAGCTGAGTAGCCAGCCAAGGGGATGGAGCACCTGAAATTCCTGAAAGTTCCCAATGTACCAGGAAGAGTATCCCCAGACAACCTTGTCCACCTATCCCTTCTCCCGCCCAGCAAGCTCCGTGCAAACCTCACCCCTTCAGCAGCCTTCTCACTACTAGGAAGCCTCTCAGACAGCCCACCTTTCCTTTGTCCCAAAGCAACCGGATGTGGAACCCTGTCCTCCACAAACAGCTGAAATCTAAGTATCTCCAAGTATTCTACCTGTCTTAGCTTTCCAACCCCACTAATCTCCGGAGCACCATACAATGTAGGTTTGTGCTCCCATAACAGATATCCTGGACTGGGTGTTCAGCAATCATAAGCTTCCACCCCCTCCCTGCTCCATTTCTCTTCCTCATGCTAGTGAGCTGGGTTGGGGGAAAGGGTGGGTCCCACCAGATCAAGGCTTTGGTATATTACCTGTTTCCTGAGTTCTGCTCTGTTCTCCACTGGTGCAGTCTTCTTTCCTGTTGATGTTTTAGGATTAGTTGTATTAACTATATTTTCATAATATATGTGTGTTGGGAGGGGTTCTGTCTCACCTCTCATGCCACCATCTTGAATCCAGAAATGCAATTGATTTTTATATACTGATCTTGTATCCTATAGTCTTGTTGAACAAGTTTACTAGCTCTATTATAGATTCCTTGAGGTTTTCTACATACAAGATTATGAGATTATAAAGATAGTTTTACTTTCTTACCAATTAGCATGCCTTTTGTTTCTTTTTCTTGCCTATTTTCCCTGACTAAAGACTCCAGTATAATGTTGAGTAGAAATAGGGAGTACAGAGACATCTGTAGCTTGTTTCTGATTTAAGGGGAAAGCTTTCAGATTCTCACCATGAAGTATGATGTTAAGTATGATACTGGGTGTCTTGCTGCCCTTTTATCAAGTTAAGGAATTTCCTTTTATTCCTCTGGTTAAGTGTTTTTATCATTAAAGTACATTGGATTTTGTCATGTTTGTTTTTCTGCATCTGTTGAGACAATCATGTGGTTTTGTCCTTTATTCAGTTAATAAGGTGTATGTATTACATTGATTGATTGTCGTATGTTGGACCAACCTTGAATTTCTGGACTGAGTCCCACTTGGTCATTGTATGACCTTTTTGTATATCATTAGATTTGATTTGCTGGTATTTTTTTGAGGACTTTTTCATCTGTATCTTAGGGAATATTGATACAGGATCACTTTTAATGGCTGCATAATGGATATACTATTATCTAACCAATTAGACTTAATTATTTCCTTTGTTTTCATTGTTACAATCAAGGTTAAGCTCATAACTCTTGCACATACAGCTTCACACTCTTTCAAGATCATTTTCGTAGGATATGTTCCTACAGATGGAATAACTGAACCAAAGATTATGCAGAGATTGTCTTGTCAGTGGCATTTTGTTTATAGTATTTTTGTTATTCGCAGAGGTTTTCGATTTTCACTAGTGAAATTTGTTCTCTTTTTATGTATTCTGCCTTTGGATGTGGGCTCAGAGGGGCCTTTTTCAGATATATAATCTCCTCTCTTTTCTTCCAGTTGTTACAACATTTCTCTCTCCTTCAATCTTTATTCCATAAGAATTCGTTTGGTACATGATTCAAGGAGGCAGCCTTTTTTTTTTTTTTTGCAAATGATTAGCCAATTTTTCCAGTATAATTTAAAAAAATAATTATGTCCTATGAAAAGATGCTCCACATCGCTAATTATCAGGGAAATGCAAATTAAAACCACAATGAGATATCACCTCACAGCAGTTAGGATGGCCAACATAGAAAAGAGTAGGAACAATCAATGCTGGCAAGGATGTGGAGAAAGGGGAACCCTCCTACACTGCTGGTGGGAATGTAAACTAGTTCAACCATTGTGGAAAACAATATGGAAGGGCCTCAAAAAAGTAAAAATAGAAATACCGTTTGACCCAGGAATTCCACTTCTAGGAATTTACCCAAAGAAAACAACTTCTGAGATTCAAAAAGACATATGCAGCCCTATGTTTATCACAGCAGTATTTACAATAGCCAAGATAGGGAAGCAACCTAAGTGTCCATAGGTAGATGAATGCATAAAGAAGATGTGGTACATATACACAATGGAATACTATTCAGCCATAAGAAAGAAACAAATCCTACCATTTGCAACAATATGGATGGAGCTGGAGGGTATTATGCTCAGTGAAATAAGTCAGGCAGAGGAAGGCAAATACCAAATGATTTCCTTCATTTGTGGAGTATAACAATGAAACAAAACCGAGGGAACAAAATAGCAGCAGACTCACTCCAAGAATGAACTAGTGGTAACCAAAGGGGCGGGATGGGGGATGGTGGTTGGGGAGGGAGGGAGACGGGGATTGTGGGGTATCATGATTGGTGTACATGGTGTGTGTGGGGTCACGGGGAAGACAGTGTAGTCCAGAGAAGACAAATAGGGACTCTATTTCATCTTACTACACTGATGGACAGTGACTGCAATGGGGTATGGGGAGGACTCGATAATAAGGGTGAATGTAATAACCACATTGTTTTTCTTGTGAAACCTTCATAAGAGTGTATATCAATGATACCTTAATAAAAAAATAAAATAAAATAATTGTGTCCTAAGATTCGTAATGCCATCTTTATCATACCCTAGATTCTTATTCTGGGGCTTTCTTATGATCCATTGGTGGCCTTTCTATTCTTAACCATACCATTGAAGTTATTTTAGTTTTCTGGTTTATTTTAATATTTGGCAGTACAAGTCCCCTTTCGTATTTCTTTTTCAAAAATGTTCTTCTATATGGAAGAATGGATTACTCTACCAGATGAATTTTAGGACAATTTTATAAAGAATTTTCTTCATATTAGAATTTTTATTTGTTACAATAAATTTAAAAACATTTTGTAGAAGATGAATAGTTAATTGGAATATGATTTTTTTCATTTAGTCCTCCTCTTTGTTGTTCAATAAATGTTATAGATTTATTGGGGGTGACTACAATTTTCTTACCAGGTTTATTCATTGAAATTTTATATATATTTTTGCTTTTAAGTAAGATTTGTTTAGCAAGCAATAAGTTGTTTAACTATATTATTTTATTATACAATTTAATACCTATTTGTCTTAGAAGGTACAGTGTAAATTTTTTTAATAAATGGCTGTCAATCCCAGAGATAACCATTCTTAACATTTTGTATATATCCTTCTATTATTAGATGTACTTAGGGAAGTAAGACACCATCACATGAAAGACTTCATAAACTCGCTTCTACTTTTTGTGTCTGCCCATCATTTTTTAGCTTTTGGGAACTGCCCTTCTTCTAACTAGCTGGGCTGTCAGTTACCCAGGTCCGTTCCCCTGCTGCTGGGACATTGTATCACACTGGGCTGCTTTTCTAAGGAATGTCTCTCTTCCTCTGAGGTCTCAACTGATACGGATTTCTAATCCTGCAATGATGCTAGGAAGGGCTCTCCCATCCCAAGAGCACCTGTGTTTGAATGAAGTGAACTTAGGGAAGCAGAGCCCAGAGGTGATGAGAAGCAGATTCCCAGTGACATTTGAACCTCTAGGTTTGTTGGCGCACAGCCAGCTTGAATTCATCCCTAGACTTTCCAGTTAGCTGAGCCTAGAAATTTACTGTTCTGCTTCAGCAAGATTGAGTTTGAGTTCTGTCAGCTGCAGAGCGCTGACCACTGCCTCCTTCTGTGTCCGCACCATGGTGACATGTGCTAGTGGAACCCCTGGATGAGTTAGGTCCCTGTGTCCCCCTGACCCCCAGGAAGGTGGATGTTCTGCAGTGAGAGCAGGTTGCATGCATTGTGCCTCACGCTTTCTTTAAAGCCAAGAGGGAAGGCCACCAAAGGTGGCAGCATTTGCCGAGGTGGCATGGGGCCACGATTACAATACACCCCTGGCAGGGGAAGGCCAGCTCTACGCTGCGTGACCTCAGCTCCTTACTGTGGTCTGTCATTAGAAAGGGGGAGTCTGTGCTTGGGGGATAGAATTACAGTGAACACTTATTTCATTCTAAATGAACATCTATTGCATTCTAAGTAAATACATCCCATTTATCTAGAATGAAAAAGAAATCTCAACACCTGACCAGAGCCTTGGAGATTCAGATGCCTTACTTCTGAGATCCCTTTAGTCAGCTCACCAGAACCACCTGCTTTGAAGTGCTTCCTGACTGAACCCGACTTCCCCATCCCACCTAGAACATTCTTCAGCCCTCAGGTTATGGCAAGTGAGGGGCCCTGTGTCTTCAGGGTGAACGCATGTCTGAAGAGCAGACTGGCTTTTCTTCTGTTTGGTAACCCAAGGAGCAGTCGGCAGGAAACTAGTCAGCCTGCATCTTCAAACCTGTATGTGTTAGTAGGGACAAATCAGGAGCCAGGAGGATAGAAATGATTTTTCACTTTGTGTGTGTTTGTGTATGTATGTGTATAAGAGAGAGAGAGAGAGATTAAGAGACAGATGGAGAGAGAGGGAGAGAGCGAAGCCTTCAGAAGCCCTGGAGAGCAGAGCCCGCCTGCTTCCTGATTGAGGCATTGCTCAAATGCTCACTGCCCGGGCCCCTTGCGTGTGGTTTCCTCCCTGGCCAGCACCAAGCCCCAAAATAGTGTGGCTGACTTGCTGATCGAGGTCAGCAGCTCCCGAGAAGCACGAGAAGCAAAAAACTTCACAGTAAGTACGTAGTTGGCTATTATTTAAGGAGGGGATGGAAAATCTTAGAACAGCTCTGTCCGGAGGAAGGGGTTCTGCTTTAGGTGTGTCTAATGTGCCCAGGGAATCATGACTAAGGCATTTTTAATACATTCTTTTGTGGTTTGCAGACTGGATAAGTTAATGCTGTGTACATACTTTTTTGGGCTAAAAATGGATTTGAAACTCAGCTTCTGACATCTTGAAAAAACAGTCTTTTCTCACTGCCTGCCATTTTTATCAAGTAATTGATGCTAAATATATAAAGTTCCTTGTAAAGAAATCCTCTCTACAGGTGCTAATTACTAGTAGTGCGGAGATGTATTTTCACAACCAAGTTGAATAGCGCTGTCTCTGTGCATTCTTTTTACCCAGTGTGGGAAGTCCAACATCCTGTGGAGAGAACCAAAAACTAAATGAAAGGTCTAGAGCCTTCTCCCCTTGAAGACCAGCACAGTGGAATGCACCCTCCCATTGTAAGAGGGCCTGATAATGTCCCAGTGCTTAATATCTGGGCCAAACATTGTACTTAGGAGGCCTGGATGGCAGAATTTCAAAGATCTGACAAAGATAGAGGCTTTTCTAGGAAGTTACTTTTGTATGGTTTCTGTCTGACGTTACTTTGCCCCACCCCTCTGGCAAAGGGCACAGCTCCTCTCATATATCTCTTCAACTACATTTTCTAGACGTTTAGTTTCTGGTTTTTATTTCCTTTTTCCGCTGAGTCTAATTTCTTATTAGAATAAAATATTTAGCTCAGTACTGTAGGAAGCTGACATTTTAAGTTTCTTTGAGGAGTATGATTTTCCCCCTCTCATTAGAATGCCAACTGAAAGGCTTATGGGGGCTGCTTATCCGGTAGGGCTCCCCCAGATGGCCCCGTTTGGGCTCCTTCACTGCTCAGCTCAGAGCCTATACACTTTTACGTGGTTTGGCCTAGAGCAGCCGGTTCACTCCCTTTAATCTTCCTTTCACCAAGTGAGTTTATGTCTCAGAGTTGTCTGAGCAGGAGACACCCACAAAAGCAGGGAGAATACAAAATTAACAATCATAAACTTTCAGTTGAAACAGATACTGCATGGGAAGTGTCTTCCTCACTTCAATTTTTTTCTAGAACACATTATCTTGTTTTGATATGATATGATAAAACACATCAGAGTGCTACCTGTGTGACAGGCACAGCACTCAAGATCTTCACAAGCATTATCTCATTTGATTCTCAAACCACCGGTGTGGTGGCTTCATGATGGTCTTCACTTTTGAGGTGGGGAAACAGGCCTTATGTAACTCGGCAGGGTCAGCCCAACTGGTGGGTGGAGTGGTACAGCCGGGACTGGAACTCTGGTCTTTCTAAGCAGAGTAAGTTCAGAAATTAGAGAAAATAGGGACTCTACCTCATGCCTTCAGACAACTTAAAATGTCTGTATTTCTTTCTACTTGTACAACTAGATATATATTATAGCACAAAGGTTTTTTTAAGTATTGTTAGATTCACAATTATTTTTTTATTTTTTGTGGGTTATAATGTTCAAGTGATTGTTCCATAAATTACTTAACTGTACTTGAAAATTGGGTTGCCTTTCTGTGTTTTTATTTTTTTTGCTATTATAAATAATACTTCAGTAGCTATCTGTCATACAACTTTTCCTATATTTTTGAATTGTATCTGTCTATAGAATGGATTCTTTGATGTGAAATTACTGAGTAAAAGGGGCATGAACATTTCAATGGCACTTGGTACATATTGCTTAATTATTCTCTATCAGTACTCTGTGTGAGTACCAGTTTAATTTTATCCTTTGCACCAAAGACTACCATAAAAAAAATAGGCAAAAGAGAACCCCTTTTTTTGTAATTTTGCATTTCTTTTGATATAGTCAGGCTGAATATTGTTTTCACATGTTTGTTTACAAGTTGTATTTTCTCTTTTGCTCATTTATCTTTTAGGACCTTAATGCCTTTTTTTTCTTGCTAATTTATATGGGTTTTTAATGAGATTTATTTGCCATACTTTTGTCCATTTTTTTCCTAGACTCTTGTTTACCTTTTTACAATGAGAGTTTTTTTTAAACATGCAGCCACTTAACATTTTTACATAGTCACATCTGTCCTTTCATTTTCTAACTCTTCTTACATTAGAAATCTAAGACCCTCTAAGTTCCCATCTAATTTTTACTTTGGTGGGTAATGTGAAAAGTGGACTTAAACTGACTTAAAAAAAATACTAAACAGTTTTTCCAATATCATTTATGAGCAATCTTTTCTGTTCTCTAATACCTTACAGTTTTGTCCTTTTATACCTTCAGCTCTTTATGTTAAAAGATTTTTCTGGTTTATTTATAGGAGCTGACTATTTCTGTGCCATTATCACACTGTGTTAATTTTTGTTGCTTTTATAATCTGTCAATAGAATGAGTTGTGTGGAATAATCTTGAATTAAAATAAGGGATTCATGAAGTACATGGGCTCTGGGGGCAGACTGCTCAGTCTTAACTTACTGTCCCTTAGTCTTACTATTTGGAAAGTGGAAATAGTAATAGTGTCTACCCCATGGTTATTCCAGTGAGGACATAAAAACTAAATTTAAAAAAACACTGGGAGAGTAGTTGATGTGTATAGATATGTATTTCATATATGTATGTTTCTCATATAGAGTCAAATGTGTCGTTGTTTCCCTTTGTGGCTTAAGACAACCTTTCATGTAATCTTGGGAGACAGAGAAAACTATACATTTGACTCTATATACATTGAGAAACTTGGTACTTTAAAAGGCAAGTGACAGAGAAATATATGTGACACACATATCCCAGAGGATTACTATCCATTATAAATGAAGAATTCCCACAAATCAATTAGAAAAAGATAAATACATAAAAAAAGGACAAAGACAATTTATAAACAGGCCACTTACATTTGTTTTTATAAATAAGCAATTTACAGTATAGCTGATCAGTAAACATAATGTTCAGTGTCTGTAAGAACCAAGAGAATGCAAGTTCAAATACTAATGAAATATTGTTTTCCCTGCAACAGCTGAAATCATGAATAATACCCAGCATCAGTGAACACCTACAGAGATGGGCGTGGGTAGTCCCAACTAACAGGAACAAGAATTAGGCTCTTCTGTACGGCAATTTTACAAAATCTACCAAAATGCAAAATGTAAAGTAAACCTGTTTTTAAGCATATACAGTATAATCGCATGCACATGAACATTTTCATTATTTACATTAAAAAACCTAAACTCTATGTGTGTGTGTGTGTGTGTGTGTGTGTGTGTATAAATTCATATTTTAAAAGTACTTCATATATAATATCGAGCTATTTACTATGTTGCCTCTTACGATGGCAGTAGAGGCAAGGTCTCGTCCACCTTTTGCTAGATATATTTCTATGTCAAATTTTGTGAGTCTGTATTTGTCTGTTATTTGTGTAAAATAAATAAACATGTTTTTCCAGGCAAAAAAATTCTAGGGAGCAGGACCCCCCCCATGGAAAGGTTCAGGGCTGGGAAAGTACAGAGCAAATTTTAAGGAGAATGAGCATTTGGATGGGAGTCTTTTATGTTCTTTACAGGTTTAAACTTAATGTTTGAGGATAAGAACCAAGGAACTTGTTGAGAAAACTCAGCCCAAGAGGCATAGAGGAGAGTTGATTTGTTGATGAGCACTGATCTCTAAAGAGCTCCTATCCCTGTTTTTAGGCTGCATCCCCAAAGGGGTGGTTCACAGACCCTGCCCCAGATGGGCTGTGCTCTTCACCTTCCTTTCCATCTGTGCTCCTTATTCTGTCTTAAAAAGTGGTGACCAGTGTTCACAATAGCAGTGCATCCAGCTGCTCACCCAGCAGAGGCTTGGAGCCTGGTCCCAGGGCACTGCACTCGTCTGTGCGGATTTGGGGGTGAGCAGCAGAGCGAATGAGCCAGGCTCGTGGAGCAGCAAACACACCACCCAGCTCTTTACTCACTACCCACTGTTGCTGTGGGCAAGCTACCAACTGGGGAGCTGAGCTGGAAGGTGATAGAAGAGAGTCCCATTCAGATGGGCTTTGGGTGCAGAAGGGGCAGATGAACTGGGGCTGCTCTATAAAGAGTGAGAGTGGGATGTCCATACTTCTTTGGGTTCCCCACCCTTGGCCACATCTGACCAGTTGGGATCTCACACCAATTCCATCACTTCAGTCTCTGGCGTTCTGCCCCCTTCCCTCCACCCCTACTGCCTCTTCTTCATTCATGTTGCTGGGACCACTGTTTCCCAGATTTCAGCCATTTTATTCCTCTCCATAGTTTCTGCCATAGCCAGATGCTATCACTTACTCATTGAATTGCCTAAAACTGGCTTACATTATTAAGGTATTTTAAAAGGAAACTTTGTAATGTACTGTAAACAAGAAACAATGAAATAATGCAATAGTTAAAAATTAAAAATTTATCAGTAATGAAGGCAGAACTCTGTAACATGGTCTGTAAGGCTACAGGGCTGCTTTGATGACAAATGGATGCTATTTATGGAAGGAAATGTCTTAGGTTTAGATATTCAGCCAGTAGGAAGTGACTCTATCGTCCATGGATTCAGGACAAGGATGATGAAAGAAAGATGAGAGAAAGAGGAGGAGACTGGAGAGCATTTATTTATTTTGTACAATCATGAGGTGAGTTAAGCCAGGGACAGGTGACAACAGGGGAGACAGAGGTCCCTCTGAGACAGCCTTCAGAGCTCACCTGGTATGGCAGGAAGGAGCAGAGCCCACGAGAGCCTGAAGCGTGGCCTAGCTAGTGGCCCCTGGGGAAGGGTTTATGCAGCAGATGGGAGGAGATCCTAGGGGCATAGTTTGAGTTGTAAATAAAAGTCTTTTACAGAGCCTAGGGACCTGAGAGCCTCTCTGGCTCCTACTGCCTATGGGGCCCTGATTGGTCTCACTGATGAGGTCTGAGCACAAGTAAAGGGTTTCCGGAGTCCTGGCATCACCTGCACTGTGTGACAGCCT